ATTTGGATTATTTGATAAGAAAATGGGTAATGTTATAAATTCGGACTTGATATAACCAACAAAATTAACCAAACTAATAATATTATAATGCAAACATCTATGTAAGTATCTAAGCATCAAAGTATCTTAGTAAATAAGTATCTTGGTATCTAAGTATCCAAGTGTCTAGGAAGATAAAAAGCTGAAGAGTTTAGATATTAATTTCACTACTAGTAAGTGGAAGATACAATGGTAGTAGAGGCTCAACGTCTGTTCATGTAATTGAAACTTCAGATGTTAAAATATCAATAAGTAATATTGTCTTAGGATAGATAGATAAATGAAACAATTGTTGCCAAAAACTTAATTAAAACACAAAATTATATTATTTTTAATTAAATTATTTTTGTAAACATAATTTAATCGAATTTAGGATTATATAATCAAAAAATAAAAAATTTAACAAATGGAAAAAATTTTTTTGTTTGTTTTTTTGTCTCACGTAAATTTCTATTAAAATATTCAAACAAATTTGAAGTAAAATTAATTAATTAGCAAATAATTTGCTGAGATATGCGTGGGCATGCAATGTAATCTTCTTATCCGCAGCAGATAATCTCCCCGCATTATCTTCCTTCGTCATTTCCTCCACTTTTGCAGCACCTGATTATATTCCAAATCAAATTTACATCCGGCTAATGCAATTTCAAACCAGGATAAAAATAATCCTTCAAGTGTAATTTTTATTTTAGAACTTTATTAAATATATATATATATATATATATATATAATATATATATATATATATATATATATTTAGATTTGATCAGGACCTTAGAAACATGTGTATATTAGATGGTTTATGTTATTGCTATTTAGGCAGCTGGGCGGTGACACAATTCTCCAAGACAAGCGTGCCACCGACACAACCCTTTCACGTGCGGCGTGCTATTCCAATGTTTAAAAACGAGGTGTTTGAAACGTAGGAACGTTGTGCGTGTTTGAATGTTGCACCTTATGTCAGACCGTGTATGTTTATTTCATCGTCGTCGTTACATATCAAAGGCTGACGTGTGGATGAGTTTTATAGAAATTGTAGGCCTAAGGTTCAAAGATGGATTACGTTCATTTTGTCTTACCGTTTGCAACAGACAGACCGAGTTAATTATGGAAAGGCAGAGATTACATTTTCTTATTTGACATCAAAATGCTTAACATTGGAAATTTGAAATGAATTTGAAAGGTTATTTTAATTGGAACTTGTTGAAACACTGCTTACAAGCTGATGATCGAGTTATTAATATTTGTAATTTTTTTTTAGTAAAAATAAAAAGTTGCTAACATACATGATTTTTCTTTCCCATAAGACATTAAATGTTTCTATATAACTTTTTGTACGCTGATTTCAAATGGGAAAATCCATTTGCTCTTTTGCTCCGTCATCGTTACAGCCTGTTGTTGGATGTTTATTTCAGGGTTTCTATTTTCTATTAATAAGGCTGTAATAAACATCAAACAACGGGTTGTAACGATCCTACCAACGAAGAAATTACTCACACAAAGAACAATGGAACTTAGAGTTCCTCTGTTATAAATACTGTAAATTCCAGATGAACAATATCACAACCTCTATTACACTGATGAGGGCAAAGGTTACCGAAAAAGCTTTTATGTAAAGGTGTAAATGAAAAATTTCGCATGTCTACTTGTCTACTTTATACATGTTAAAATAAATGTAGACACTGTATATTTTACTATCCGACCAACTAACTATCCAGTAGTGATATCAGGAAGGAGCCGAATATGGCCGGATAGTGAAAAATTGCCGGGTACTCGGCCGAACTAATTGAAAAAATTAGTAAAAAACGGGTTTCCAATGCTAGAAGATAAAATTTGTTTTCATGACGTTGTCACGGTTATACCAAAAGAGCATGAATGAATTTTTATGGCTTGTTGTGTGTACATTTTCACAAGCCCATGGTAACATGGTCACCATGGTAAACAAACTGCGTGCAAACAAGCTCCTCCTCTTCCTTTTACTAATCCTGCTTTGCCAAACATGCATTCATAGTTGCTAGTCCTCAAGACTAAATTCTCGTTATTAATAATACTACAGAGATTAAGCGATATCTCATATTTATATTAAATTAGATTTTATGTTATATGTTTAGAGATGTGCGTGTAAGTGTTTGTATGCGTGTCTGCTGTACTTGTGTGTGCATGTGTGTGTGTGTGTGTGTGTGGTATATACATATATATAATTATATATATATATATTGGATTAAGACTGTCAGAAATGAAATTATTGATGAAAATTACAGCATGTTCGGCGTTAGTTAACTTCCAATTTAACTTTTCGATTTTTCTAACGGTTGGTCGTAAATCATTTTCAAGTTTCTTTAGTTCAAAACCAAAATTTTTGTTTTCTATCATGCATAAAACAAACTTTAAATTGGTTATTGCCAACAACTTGGTAGAATTCATACAATACTGTATAAAAAATGGTCCCATTCTAACATATATATATGAATTTGATTATATATATATATATATATATATATATATATATAAGAAATAAAAAAGACATAGGTACATACCTGTATTTATTAGATTATTGGGAAAATACAACATCAACTCGCAAATACCTACTTTCATATATAAACATGTATTTATATATTTCATTTAAAAATTTTTATATTAAGTAATTTACATATATTATATAACATATGTATATTATATATATATATATATATACAATACTTATATATTTATTTGTATGTATACAATATTTCAGAAATGACGAACATATATGTATATGGAACACACAACCACACACACACTCACACACACACACACACAAACACACACATACACACACATATATATCCATCAATATGTTCATATTTATAAATAACAAAGTGTACGTCTATGCTTTTATTGCGTTTTCAAATTGCGAAGTTCTTTAATTAAAACCAAAACAATAGATAGGGGAATTACTGCTAATAATTACAACAAATATGTGTGACAGACAGCACACATACACGTGCATGCATGCATGTTTATGTGTGCATTATATGTATATACTGTATCAAACTCAGCAAGCGACTAGTGTATTGAATGAATGTATTTAAATGCAAGTTTTGCTCGGATAGATATTTAAAAGTCTTTGCAGTGGTTAGGTGATGCATCAACTGCAACTTTTACGTTAAATTTTCAGTAATACTTTTTCAATCGTTAATTTAATTAAATTATTTTATTTTAAGCAAAATTTAATTTAATTTATAATTTTTCAAGGGATGTGAATATATTTTGTTCCTTGTCAAATAACTGCTCAGAATTTTTTCAAACGTCAACTTGACGAATGATTACACATGACGTAGATATCGTAATCCAGTGGTCCAATCTACCTTCGTTTGATCATAAAGCTTTCAAGCCATAAAAATCAATAACTGATAGATTTGTCGTTTCACTGACGAACGATCGAGATATCCTCGCAAGCATGCCGTCCACCACGGGATTGATCGTCATTTTATTCTTCGTTCTTTGTTTAGGCGCAACTCCATTGGACAGCTACATTCTGGAGTTGGTCGTCGAACCGATGTATGAAATATCAAAAAATGGGTTTTCATCGTTATCTCATGTCTTCTCAAATCTCAGCTCAACGAAATGGTTGGTAATTTTTAATCCTACTGCTTTCCTCGTCTCTATTCGCTGGGAAAAGATATTCAACGCTGGCATATGGACTCTTGCCATTTATTTTTCGATCAAAGCGATTCGGTTCCTGAAAAGTTTTTTCTTCGATCCGATTAACAGAGTGAGACTGTTGGGCGATGTGGGTTACGTTGAAGAACTTGGAAGCGGGAACCTGGATGGATGTCAGAAGAAGGCTGCTCTGGTGGCGGCTGTCATGAAGCGAAGGAAGACTGGCGATGTTCCTCCTGTCTATCCCAACGGATGGTTCTCCCTCCTGGAGTCGAGGGATCTCAAATGCGGAGATGCCAGGAGTGTCTCGTGTCTCGGTAGGTTGAATGAACAGTCATTAATGTTTTATTTTTATAACATAACAGTGAAACAAATTGTTTTATGTTTAAATGGATTATTTATTTTATTTATTTCATTATTGAAAAAAAAAACTTTAAACAAAATTTGAAATACAATTTAATAGACAAGAATAAGGCAAATTTAACAACATGAAAATTCGGGAACAACATGTTGTTTTTTTACAAATATAGTTAATTATTCTATTTTTTTAAAAATGTTTATAACAATTCATCATCAGCATCATCATCATCATTATTTCTAACTGGTTTTACGCAAGATTTCAAAAGAAAATTTTTAATAGACGCTAAAGTATTTTGAAAATGATCGCAAGCAACGTCTTTCCGTCTAACCTACGCATGAGTATATGATGCGTTATTTCGCCTAAATGTACGTACATATCTTAGATGTGTGCTAGATGAACGCTGCAAGTGGTGTTTAACGCTCGGAAAAAATGCTGTAGAAAATATTTTATTGATTTTGGCTCACGCAAAAACAAACACCAATTTCAAGCAACTCTTGCATATAAGTTTCAAGTGTAAACCAACAACCACAAAATACTAACAAGCCAATGTAAATTCCTTTGAAACCCAGACGCATCATAAATACATGAAATAATTTGCTAGGTCATAATCATCATTAAGTTAATTCAGTTCAGTCGTGCTTACCCGACCGAGCACAAAATGGTAATGCGATATAGAAAGAAAAAGGGGAGAATTAAATTGGCTGGCAGTGCAAAAGGATTTTTAAATGTCTTCATTTAGTGGTCCGCGGCGAATCTGCAGTGAAATGAAACGAACGTCTCTCTGGCTCACGTCCTTCGTGGAATATTCTTTCATTGTATATCTAATACTAATATATACACATTTCGAAAATTTATTTTTAAAATGTGACTCACAACACTTTTAAAATTTTCAAAATTTAAAATTTGAAACAAAAATTTCTAATGTAACAGTCTGAACAATTTTTCATAAGTTGATCTGGAATGACAAATAAATGAAAAATTTCAAATTAAATTTTGTATCAAAGATGTGTATATATTTAATAATTTATTTTTATAATTTTAAAATTATATAATATATAAATAGATATTTTAAACATAGTAATATAAATATATTACGTATGTATATATGTGTGGTGTTTGTGCTGTATTTATGTGTGTGCTTGTGCGTGCGTGTTTGTGAGTGAAATTTATAATTGTATTTTAATTCATGCGTCTCCGTTGTTGTGTGTTTTAACTGAGATTTACATTTTGAAGCAGCTTATTAGAATATAATTAAACCTATAAATATTTAAACAGAAACATTCTGTTGTCAAATTATTGGCCAATTTTCTCCATGAAACTTTTTCTTGCACCCACCAAAATTTCAGATTGTGCTAGCAACATAATTAAACTATGAACAAATAGATTAATGATTTCTCGAAATAGTCATAGAGCGGCCCGATTAGTTTCCATCAAAATGTAACAAATCTCAGAACTGTGATGAAAAATTTATTTGAAAAAACATCAATTCTATAAAATGATTGAATCGAACTATTAGACTGTAAAATTATTTTTACCATGTTTTAATTCATCAGTTAAAAATTGGTGCTTGTTTGCCTAAATCAAACGTCAGTTAAACTTCCATAGATGTGAGCTACGCGATTACATTCCTTCAATTGTTTGTTGTTTTATTTTTTGTGGTTGCATTTTAGCATTTAATTTAACTATCATTCAGTATGAATGTTTGAAATTCTCTTTATCTTGAACGCACAACAGGTAAGAACATAGCAGTTTTCCGAGCTGAAGATGGGAGAGCTCATGCTCTTCATGCCTACTGTCCCCACATGGGAGCCAACCTGGCCGTCGGTGGTGTGGTCAAGAAGAACTGCTTGGAATGTCCTTTTCATGGCTGGCAGTTTCGAGGGGACGATGGCAAGTGTGTGCACGTACCGTACTGTGAAGATAAGCACAGTAAGATAACCAATTTTTTTTGTTTTTTAAGTATGTAAATTTTTTTAACAGATTATTTTTTTGAATATACAGCGTGTTTGTCTACATAACCATTTTTGAACGTTTCTGGTTGGGCGGTTTTGGTAAAGCTGATAAAACGTGTGTTGAACTTAAATGTTAAATATTATGTGTTCGTTGCTTTGTTGATTGTAGATGAGTCAGATTTATAGTTTTGTCCGTTTACAGCTCAGCTGTTCATTTTTAATGTTGCGACTTGTACGTGAGACACGCACATGTATGCCTGTTTTTATTTCAAATAAATTAAATCAGCATTGCATTTTGTTACTGCAACCAATGAATTTAATTTAAAAAACGATGAACTATAAATTTGTAGTTATTAGGATAAGATTATTTTTTTGAATGCTTATACTGAATAACACTTTTGATGTTGTTATGTGAAGTCGTTTGACTTACTGTTTTCACAAAACAACACAAAACACCAAATAAACATCACCTAACCTTGAAAATGTTGGGTGATGTTGATTTGACATTTGGAGCAATAGACTCATATTTATTATACACTGCTCATCGATTTGGCACATTCACTATTCTAGATATTGCTGACGTGCCAAAAAAAATCTTTAGAAATTTTTTATATGATATAATAAAGATTATGTGATATATATTTAAGCGTGTTATATATTACTCAATATTAACGCTGTGAAATGGATGAACTGGGCTGGTGCGTCGGGCTGCCTGGACTGGGATTTTTCCGACCGGTGGTAGCGGTTTTGAGTTATATAAACAAAATTTATAACAAAATTTACCAGTAAAATAAAAATAAAAAATATTTGCTAAAATAAATAATTAAATAAATGTGAATGTCAACAAGGCACATCATAGCACAATTGTGGGAGTTGAAATGATGTTAAAGTTAACAAAAAAAAATATTTAAGCGCAAAACAAATTATGAAAACTGTTTGATGATTGCCAAATTTGTTCTAAATACTGAAAATGTTACATGAACTGATGGCTATAAAACAAATTTGCAGTAACAGAGCAGGCAAAAGTGGAATCCTACTGCATACTGGAAAGGAATGGTTTCATAATGATGTGGCACCACGCTGAAGGTTGCGATCCTCTCTGGGAGCCTCCAATCATCGAAGAATTGGAGAACAAGAGTTGGAGGTACGGTGGAAGAAGCGAGCACATAATCAACGCTCATATTGAGGTGAGCTACATTTTAGAAAAAATAATTTGCATCAGTAAATTTAATCTACCGATTTTATTTCAATTTGATTCATTTTTCAAGGAAATTCCGGAGAACGGTGCAGATGTGGCACATTTAGGACAAGTCCACGGACCTATAATGACAGCAGGTATTGATTTGGCTCGGACGCAAAATAAATGGTGGAGTTTCACGCGTCACGATTGGGCTGGGTGCTGGAATCAAAATCCTGATCCAGAGCTGAAACACGTCGGCATCTTAGATTTGCATCATAAATTGATCCTCTTCGGAAAACATTTTCCTGTCCTGGATTTGAAAGTTCAAGCGCAGCAGGTAAGTTCTTATTCCTTTTCTTTTTTTCGAGATCAATTTTTGTATATTTTCTACTAATTCGCAGATAGGACCTGGCTTGGTCCATCTAATGTTCGATAGTCCCATGTTTGGCAAAGGTGCTTACATTCAGACGCTGACTCCAATTGAGCCGCTCGTTCAACGTGTTGTTCATCACATTTACGTCAACAACTTCTTTCCAACTATAGTGGCGAAATTTTTCCTCTTTGCTGAAGCTCTAATGGTTATTTTAACTATTTTTATTTTTAAATTTTAACATAAATTTGCAAAACTCTTAAAGTAGTTAAACTTGAAAACAAGATGGATTTTGCTAAATATCGGTTTCATCAAAATGTAACTTGAATGAAGGTGGAGTCAGTGTAATACAGAATAATGCGTAAGGTAAATTTTTGCTAAGATCTAACAAAAGGTTTGCATAAGTATGAGGCAAAAATAAAAAGATGCGTCAAAATAAAAATTCAAATAGTTAGATAGTTTTTTTTTCTATTTTTACAATATATTTCTATACATTCGTATATTCAAAATAGTTCGTATAACACGTCAGGTTGAAAGGGACATCATGATTTGGAACAACAAGCAGTACATTTCGAAGCCCCTCTTCTTGAAATCCAAGGAAGATTCCCTGATAGGCCGTCACAGGAGATGGTATTCTCAGTTCTACTCTGAACACAGCCCAAGATTAGACACTTCAAGCGTGAAAATGGATTGGTGATGGAAAATGAAATAAAGTTAAGCGGTATGAAACTTAAAATGCCAGTTTTTATAATTATTATAAAATGATTTTTCGAACATTTGGAAATACTTGTTAATTAAATGACCAACTAATTTATAAATTATATTATTGTACAGTCTTAGAACATTTTGATTTGTGATATGTTCAATATGTTATATACATACATATTATATATATATATATATATATATATATACACGTACATATGATATATATAACAAATGTTGAATGTTTTTTTTAAATCATGAACATAGCTTGCAGGAGAGCTAACGCAGTCAATTAATTTTAAACATGGACATTGTTTCATCATCTCACCAGACTTGTAAATCTTCATAAAATCTGTTTCACTTAAATTTGTATTATTTTTTGAAAGCTACTCTAAAACAAATAAAATATTCCGCAGTCATTTGGCGTCATTCTCTCAAAAAAGTCATTTCGTTTAACTTAACTCATATCTCTCTTGTATTATTTAGTAGCTTAATCTCGTTTAAAATTAAATGTGAAAATGGTGTGCTATTTTAACTTGAAGTATACACAAGATTATTTACAAATCACGTTGTTATTCATGTTGCAAATTGATTAATAACTGTTGAAAATGATGCTTATCAACGTACACGTGTGCATTTCTGTTTTTGGCGCCATGTTGCGGACGGGAAGTTCTGTCTAAGCTCTCCTCCTGGCTATGCCCGCCCGTTTTTATTCAAAAGTTGACCAAATCCTTTCCAGAACTTACATCACTAACAATTTATATTATTTTGTGTGATAAATTTTTACTTGATTTTCAAAACTTGCGCGACATGTCAACGAATTTCTTTCTAAAGCCTGAGGACAACGATTTCACGAGTTTCTGAGTTATAATTTTATTAAAGAAAATGTTTCAGCAAATTTTTTTTTAACTATTTGTTTGTTTTTTTTTATGACTTTTTATTGATATTTGTATATAAATGAAATGCTTTAATAAATATTTTTTTAATAATAAGTTTTGTTGAAGATAAAGCTTTTTTTCAAATAATGGAAAAAATTATAATTTTGAATAAATGAGATTTTTACAGTAATTAAGGAGATTAAAATTGTTTCAAACAATCAATCAATCAATCAATCAAATCAATTTATCTATAAAGCTTCATTCCAGCGATGTTCAACAGCCCTCCTCAATAAATTTTACTAACGAATGGTTTTCGAGAACGTTCTACACTTTGTTAAAGTGATGAGAAGTAGTTTTGTAAGCTTAAGAATGTTTAACATGAATTAAGAAAAAAAGAGGACTAGACGATCGTAAATCGGGTAGTTTGGGTTTAATGAAAACATCTGATAAATATTCAGGAAATAATTTAGAATGAGAGTTGAACACAAATGTGCAAATTTAAAAAATTATTCTATGTTGTTTGATTAAAAATTGCGATACAATGCAAGTCATCTTATCGTTGAAAGAATTAGATCATTACCAAGATGCTAACGTTTTAAATGTTTTGTATTTTTGATAACGATAAACAACGTAGGTGAATATAAAGCTACATGACAAATTCGGTAACAAATTTCTTTTACAAAATTGAGTCAATCCTACTCCTTCATGAAATGTGACAAAAATTCGATGGGCAGGGGGAATATGATGGTCGAGTTTTTTTCGGCTGAGATGGTGTTGAGTGTTTGCAAGTAGCGTAACTGCAGGGCGGACGATGACTCGTTAATAACGTCGGAAGCTTCTTTCAAGGCTCTGGCAGCTTTTTGTTCGCCTTCAGCAGCAATCACCTTTAATAAAATAAATAAATAAATCAACCAATCAATCAATTAATAAACATTTATTTTAAAATGCCATTTCGCGATGTTCATCAGTGCTCCTCAATGAACATGGAGAGATGGGTCTTGATCTACTCTGAACTTCGTCAGTGACGGAAAAGTTGTTTGAAAAGGAGGTAGAGAGTTCAATCACAACTGCGAATGAGTTATAAAAAAAATGATAGAACCTTAGCGCGAGCCTCCCTCGTTGCTTCGGCTTCTGCTGCCATGGCTCTCTGTAACTGAACAGGCAACCTCACATCTTTTCTGTTTCAATTTTTTGTATTCAAATGTACAGCCCATGGTGAAAATTAACATTTAATTCAAATTCAAAATATTCAGTAAAATGCGTTATCAGAGAGACCAGAAGTTTTCACTTGTTGGGCCACCCTATGCGAAAGCATAAACAAAAGGAAAACTTGATGCATTTAACGTGACAAAACGCAAATTGAACAGAACGAATAATAAAAAACTAAAAAAAAAGAAAAAGCAATAGTTAAATAGTAAAAAATGGAAAATGTTCGTTCAAAAATTAACTTATAAACAAATTTCTTGAATGAACTAAGAGAAGGCAAATTTTTCCATTCTCTTGGCAAACGAACTGAAACAGAAAAAACGGAAATTTACGAAACAGTTTGTGCGATACCTATGAAAATAAAAGTCTGGATTATTTCGCAAGACAATTAATCAATTATTTAGATGACATATTTGATCAGAAAGGGTTGGGCAATAAGATAGTTTGAACAGTTTATAAAAAAAACAACAGAGAGAACAAAATATGTAATTGGCTAGCTATTAAGATATTTGCTAACGTATAAAAGTAACTAATATCATAATAGATATATGTCTGTGTATGTGTGTGTTTGAAAGAGTGAGTGAGTGTGTGTAAATGGGTGCACACATTAGGTAAAATAAATGTGATTATTACAATCAAGTATTTGTCGATAAGAGTAATATTTTAGTGGAGTAACTAGAGTTGAAAATTTAAGACTATAAAAGGAAAGATTTCACAACGCGTGAAACAGCTTATAAATATTTTTAATATCATATCAGTTAAGGATTAATTCATGATTTAATTTTATCATATATGAAGTCAAGTGATGCTTAACAAGAGATAATATTTGGGTATATTAGCAGCGAACAAACGTAGAAACAATCAGAAACCAACAAGTTTATTACAAATTAAAATGGCTGAAGATGATGTTGCTGCTCTTGTTATCGACAACGGATCCGGTATGTGCAAAGCCGGTTTTGCTGGAGACGATGCTCCCAGAGCCGTCTTTCCATCAATTGTTGGTCGTCCCAGACATCAGGGCGTGATGGTTGGAATGGGTCAGAAAGATAGCTATGTTGGTGATGAAGCTCAGAGTAAGAGAGGAATCTTAACGCTCAAATATCCCATCGAGCATGGAATCGTTACCAACTGGGATGATATGGAAAAGATTTGGCATCACACCTTTTACAACGAACTACGTGTTGCTCCTGAAGAGCATCCAATACTGCTTACAGAAGCTCCATTGAACCCAAAAGCAAACAGAGAAAAAATGACTCAGGTTAAAATAGTTTATTAGCATAACTCTTTTTTAAATTTCACGATTTTAAGAAGATTGTCATATTAAAAACGTTTTAACAGATCATGTTTGAAACTTTCAATTCTCCTGCAATGTACGTTTCAATTCAAGCCATACTTTCTTTATATGCTTCTGGAAGAACCACTGGTATTGTGCTCGACTCTGGAGATGGTGTCACTCACACAGTACCAATCTATGAGGGATATGCTCTTCCTCATGCCATTCTCCGTTTAGATTTGGCGGGCAGAGACCTGACCGATCACCTCATGAAGATCCTCACAGAACGTGGTTACTCACTCACCACTACAGCCGAAAGGGAAATTGTTCGTGATATCAAAGAAAAACTTTGCTACGTCGCTCTTGATTTTGAACAGGAGATGGCCACTTCTGTTTCTTCGTCTTCTATTGAAAAAAGTTATGAAATGCCCGATGGTCAAGTTATCACAATTGGGAACGAACGTTTTCGATGTCCAGAAGCACTCTTCCAGCCAAATGTTATAGGTTTAGAAGCATGTGGCATTCATGAAACAACATACAACAGTATCATGAAATGTGATGTCGATATCCGTAAAGACTTGTACGCCAACACTGTGCTGTCCGGAGGATCCACAATGTTCCCGGGCATTGCCGATAGAATGCAGAAGGAGATCACTTCTTTGGCCCCAGCGACGATGAAAATCAAAACTATTGCTCCCCCAGAGCGTAAATATTCAGTGTGGATTGGAGGTTCAATTGTTGCATCTCTGTCCACCTTCCAGCAAATGTGGATCAGCAAGCAGGAGTATGATGAATCTGGACCATCAATTGTTCACAGGAAATGCTTTTAAATGGTACATTTGTTACTTTTGAAAAAACTCTTGTTCTGCTCAATTGTAGTCGGTTTAAACAAATGTATTTTGTTAATATCTAATGAGCGAGCTTCATTTTCTAATAAATATCTACATCCTAAAAATTGTTTTTTAAATAAAATTTTATTAAGTTAAACTACTTAGTAAAAAAGTTTAATATGTATTATTGTTCATTCTTGTACTGTAAAACAGAAAAAATATTGAGTTAAGTCAATTGTATCTTAATTATGATGCACACACACACACACACACACACACACACAAATATTGATACACGTACACACAAGCCAAATATGTGTAACGCATATTTATTGTATATATGTTGTATACAGAAAATGATCATTCTATATTGAATTACGTGCCCCAGTAGCTTTACTGACTTACGATCGTTATATATATATAATATATATATATATATATATAATATATATATATATATATATATTTACATATATACATGTTAAGCGCGAATCCAGGATAAATGTCAAGTGCATTCGAACATAAAATTGTGCAAATTCAAATCGCGTTTGCGTCAACACTTTGATTGACAAGTTGCTTCTTTGGCGACTTCACTTTTTCATTATTTAAATTATGTATAAATACATAAATACAGAAGCCAAAATATTATTTTCTGATCAATAATTTCATCAAGTTTCATTAAGAGATGCTAGCTTTCCGACGAAGATCTTTCACATGTGTCACTTTATTTGTACGCCATTTTGAATAAAATTAAATAAAAAAATCACTCGCACACATCTACACAACTTTTTACGTGTGTGCCTAGCTACAACGACTTTCTCACGCATTACCAAATAAGGAGAGTCATGAGAAATACCATATATGGTAATGTTCAATGAATGAATGAACAGCGAGCTCACAATACAGCAGGCACAATTCGAATGAGCCAATGAGAAGAGAGACAAGTGTTGTGCCTGACACGTCATTATGCTAAGTTTTGAGGCGATTAACTACTACTTGCTAATAAATGCTGATGGTGTGTCATGAAAATCAATTTTATATTTTATTCAGCTGTTTCACGCGATTTTTTAAATATACAAAAAATTAATTTTATAAATTATATGAGAAGCGATGCATGAATTTTTATCACCGTTTTAAATTTCGATTAATTTCGACACGGTATCACACATCGAACTTAATGCTCTGAATAATCTGTTACACGGTCTCAATGGCAAATTGGCCAAAAACTCTAGTACTACCTCACAAGTGTGCCATATTAGCATTCAAGAATCAGGTGATTTCCTGTAGAGCAATTTAATGAATAAGCTGGAAGTGCGCGCGTTTCTGAAAATGTACGAAGCCGTTGGTGTATCGCCGATTTAGATTTTTTAAAACTAAACCCTTATTTTAACCCGGTCCATACGCACATACATACATATATGTATATGTAAATGTGTGTACATATGTGTGTTATACAAAATGTATGTTTTTTACAAAACGTATGTTTTTTAGTCTTTATTGTTGCAGCTCTGATATACCCAGAACCACTTACAATGTTACAGATAGGTATATTATCTATATATCTTTCATTATGTTCTTCATATCTTCAACCATTAATTTGAAGCTGCCATCTTCGCCACAAAGGCTGTTTATCCTTTTCACACGACGTACACATGTGTTTTTATGTGCACGCGCAAGCACCCCATCATATACGCTGAGTATATGATAACCATTGAGATGTTTGACTCAACGAGCATTTGAACCATCTCGCCGGCCAACATGCGACAACTTACGTCGTCTCCCCATTTACCGACCTCGGAAAGATGGACGGCTGGGTTGGTCGGGGGTCGGCTACCCGGATAAATCTTTAGAAACTGCAGCATTCGAACTTGGGTCGTGGGAGTGGTAGACGGACACGCTAGCCACTCGGCCACGAGACCCATGGTGAAGTATGTTTGAAGTGTATCTATTTTTGATACTTAAGATAGGTGTTATCATCACCATATATACACATACGATAAACACATACGTATACATAGATAAACATACATATTTTGTACTGTACACACGTATATATATTTTGGTACGACCAACATATAACATAATATCTTCGTAAATATTAAATAAATAAATAGCTTGTTTGAGTTCCTCATCGTCGTTCATTTTGTGCTCGTTATTCTGGCTGATGTTATTTCAATTATTAAATTGGAAATTTATTAAATTCTTTCGGTTATAATTATATTGTGAATAAATTGCTCTCTGGTATTGCTATCATCTATTTTTAAACATGAGATTAAGACGGCCGATTTAGGTTGCCTTTTCGCGGGTGTGATGTGGACAATCAGCAGTGCGGATGCTGGCGGTTGCAGACGTTAACTCTGCAGATGCGGGCGGTCGCGGTTTGGAGAAATCTTCTCTGCTTGGGGCTCTAAAGCTTTAGTGCTTAATTTTTAAAATTTGCTTGGCAATTGGCTGACCATAGAATTATGATTTTTTGCAAAATTCATCTTCAAAGGGTTTGAGTTTCAACATAAACGTAATTAAATTGAAACAAATTAAAATTTTAATCATCTATATGTCCGAAATACTTCGAAATATCTAAAATTTTCAGTGCTGTCACAAACAAAATTATTGAAATCGCATAACACACAAATACAACTACACAAAATGGTCGAATTAATTAAAAGCTAATATTTTGAGAACAGGAAAAACGTAATTTGTAAAGCATTCAGGTGAAAACCAGGCGTGAATTTAATGCAGGTGCTTAAAGCTAGTAGCAATCGAACCATTTACGAAGAATTTATTATAATTTTAATCTAAAGTAACGCTATTACTAAGCTATATTCAAACAGTATTACAGCCTAACACTCATACGTTCAAACAAGCACTTATGATTGTATCACTTATCACTTCCTAAGCCGAACAGTAATGACGAATATATACCGATGAACAGACTGAATGTATCACATACATTTCATGCATAGAGTCATTTCATGCATAGTGTAGCTGCGGATGTTTCAACCAATAGAAATGAAGACTACCTTATATGGAATTGAATTGAATCATTTCGTTGTTCAAGCGCCCAGAGTATATAAAGTGGCTCGTCAGTGTCATTTCAGCACGAACACTACTCTAACGTAACTCTAGCAACTGCTAAAATTTGTTATTATTATTTCTAAGTAACCCCAAGCTCTAACACAAAATGGCTGAAGATGATGTTGCTGCTCTTGTTATCGACAACGGATCCGGTATGTGCAAAGCCGGTTTTGCTGGAGACGATGCTCCCAGAGCCGTCTTCCCATCAATTGTTGGTCGTCCCAGACATCAGGGCGTGATGGTTGGAATGGGTCAGAAAGATAGCTATGTTGGTGATGAAGCTCAGAGCAAGAGAGGAATCTTAACGCTCAAATACCCCATCGAACATGGAATCGTTACCAACTGGGATGATATGGAAAAGATTTGGCATCACACCTTCTACAACGAACTACGTGTTGCTCCTGAAGAACATCCAGTTCTCCTTACAGAAGCACCTCTAAACCCCAAAGCCAACAGAGAAAAAATGACACAGGTTACAAATCAATTTTATTATGAGAACGCTTGTCTATATTGTAGCATTTATATTATATATAATAAATAAATAATATTTTTACTTACCTTTTTACTAAAAATTTGGCAAAATTTGATTATGAGGCACTTAATCTCACCAATAAAAATGTATCTTTCAGATCATGTTTGAGACATTCAACTCGCCTGCCATGTACGTCGCAATTCAAGCCGTTCTTTCTCTGTACGCTTCTGGAAGAACCACTGGTATTGTGCTTGACTCTGGAGATGGTGTCACTCACACAGTACCAATCTATGAGGGTTATGCCCTTCCTCATGCCATTCTCCGTTTAGATCTGGCAGGCAGAGATCTTACTGATTATCTCATGAAGATCCTCACAGAACGTGGTTACAGTTTCACCACTACAGCCGAAAGAGAAATTGTTCGTGATATCAAAGAAAAACTTTGCTACGTCGCTCTTGATTTTGAACAGGAGATGGCCACTGCTGCCGCATCCTCTTCGCTTGAAAAAAGCTACGAGCTGCCCGATGGTCAAGTTATTACCATTGGTAACGAGCGTTTCCGTTGCCCAGAAGCACTCTTCCAGCCAAGTTTCTTGGGAATGGAATCCTGTGGCATTCATGAAACAACATACAACAGTATCATGAAATGTGATGTCGATATCCGTAAAGACTTGTACGCCAACACTGTGCTGTCTGGAGGATCCACAATGTTCCCGGGCATTGCCGACAGAATGCAGAAGGAGATCACTTCTTTGGCCCCAGCGACGATGAAAATCAAAATCATTGCTCCTCCGGAGCGTAAATATTCAGTATGGATTGGAGGTTCAATTCTCGCATCTCTGTCCACCTTCCAGCAAATGTGGATCAGCAAGCAGGAGTATGATGAATCTGGACCATCAATTGTTCACAGGAAATGCTTTTAAGCAGAGACCCTCTTGATACAGTGAGCATGCGCAAGTTTTTTACCGAGATATTTTTTTTTATTTATTTGTAATTTTTGTACCATTCCCTTAAAACAAGAACAGGAGTGTAAGAACTAATGATAGAGCTTTAAATGTTTTAAAAATGTGTAACTTGTTTTTAAATAAAAGTGTTCGCTAGAAACCTTCTCGCTCTTGGTGTTTAGTTCCAAACCAAAGCTTATCGTGTGCTCGCTCGCAAGCGTTAAAACCTAAATAGCAATACACCAATACATAATTGTCAAGAAATAAAAAACAGACTGGGCGGTCAAAACGGTAGAATCGATAAAAAAAGCCATGAGACACTTCGTTAAGTTAGCAGTCGCAGCGCGCCACTCGTACATAAAAAAATAGCTACCTCCTAGTGCTAAGAAGAATTAATTTGAAAGTGTTTAAAAACATTGATAAACAAACGGGCTTGATATTGATTTATAGTTGAAAGTTAATTGAGAATATGAAATAGTACTAGGAACTGAATAAGATTATGAATATTTGATCTAGTAGTATTTGTTACTGCGTAAAAATTATGGAGTTATTAAATTTAAAAAAAAACATAAATACAAACTAAAATGAATAAGTTACTAAGTGCAACTTGACAAAAACTTCTGAAAGAAGTTTTTTCGGCACTCAATATCAAAAAAGAACCTAATACGTTTCTTATATAAATACTAGTTATTACTATGCAAGAGGTGAAATCAGATTAAAGTGTTAAATTCAAAAAACATTAATAGCGATAATTTGAATTATTGCTTCTGTAAATAGGAGAAAAAATTTTGTTCAATTTTCTCCAGTTGATAAGTTTTGATTATCTTGATCTCAAAAATTGATTCGTTACCCTCGACAGAAAATATACCTGAGCTTTAGTTTTCAAGTAATAAGATAGTCGAAAGATATTAAAAGATAGTGAATAGAATATCGGAGAAATCTGCAGTGTGTTTGTGTGTGTATGTGCGTGTGCGTATTTGTGTCTACCTGTGTGTGCAGGTTTGTTTATTAGTCAAATTACAATAGGTGAAACGTTACAAAAATTAACAAATGACAACAAATAACGAACTACAAATAACTCACATTTCAACTCTTTCTACCATAATTCCCCAGTGCTCCGTTGCGACATCCAACATCATCTGAAATATATTTAATTTTCAGTTTTGTTTCAGCAATCACGATAAATTAAAAATTCTTCTTTCCTCAATTCAGTCGTTAATGATTTCACTAACATATAGGATCAATGTTCGTATTTATTTAAATGAGATTTGATGATATCGTTTTTAACATTTGCTCGATATTTTACTGCTACATTTTTCAATTTTCAATAGATAATGTTCAAAAATTGATGAATAATACGACACAGGACCATGTAGAATGTACAATTCTGAATCAACTTGTGTCTCGGTCTTATTAATATTATTTTTTCATACAAACTTTTAGTTTATATGTTCAATTATAGAGATCCAACCATATATATTAATATATCAATTATTATATATGAATCCACCAACATTTCTAAATTGTTTCAAAACAATTTTTACTATTGAAAAAAAACTCATTATAAAAAATCATTTGCCAGATTTTGTAACCTTATAAGGTTTTTCAGGCTTGCATCATGTCCAGCAACTTTGTATATTGTTATAATTCCATTATAGCATAATTTCATAAATTTTTTGATTTTAGAAAAAGTTTGCTGGTTATTTTTGATTCTGTTTCATTGCTCGCATTAAATGTCAAGAGCCTCATCTATCTAGATTGTCTCAAGTTATGTTTTATAGCTTTTCTGCAGTTTCATCAAATAACGTGGACAAACATTTATGTTACTCAATCTATATTTTTCAATAAATTTTGCATCGTATTTCCGTATTTTTTAAGCAAAATATTCTCTATTGGGACAGAGAATTATGTATTCAAATTACCTGCTATTGAAACATCAACATTTTGCCATAGGCTGGTAATATATTTAAAATTTTAAAAGTTAAAAAAGAATAAAAACGACGTATATTTTATTTTGCACAATTTAATTTGTGTGCTGTTCCCAATTAAGAAAATTTCAGTGTAAGATAGGGATATATCAATAGAACTCGGAACCAGGGACGGATTTAGACCAATTTGACGGGGGGGGGCCAAGATTTTGAAAAATATTTGATGACCGGGGGGAAAAAAAAGTCGATCACCGTGGTAAATATTTTCCGAATTTACCCATTTTTCAACATCATGGACTCTACGGGTTTCAACAACTGCCCAGTTCAGTAAGAACAACTGACCTGTCTAATTGAATTCTAAAAATTGTTGACGGGATGTATAATATACTGACAAAGTCTATTTTGGAAATGTTATTCTGTTATAAGCATAAATTTAAAAAAAAATTTTTTTAATTTTTTTAATTTTATGTAGTTTCTCATTTTATAGCCATGAATCCATGCATTAAAAAAATTTAAATGAGTGAAATGTCGAAAAAAAATTTGTCGTTAAACGATACATTGTACTGATACAAAATAGCTCTAAAAATACGCTTTTGCTCATGGAAACAAGAACTCAATTGATGTTCTAGTATAAATACTTATGAATTTTTTTACAACAATTTTGTGATTGTGTTGACACTTTTTTTGAATTAAAAATGTTAAATACGACAGAGCTCTCTCTTTTTTTTAATTTCCTAAATTATGTAGCTTTTGAAGTAGAGAAACCGAGAGCATGTACATTTACGTAAACATTTGAAACAAAAATAAAATGTCTTAAAATAATTTCACAGGATAAACAAGCATATACATAATTTAAATTCTCTGATAACAGGCATTATTCATTTCCCAAGGCACAATTAAACTTACTTGCATTGAAGTTGATATACTCTCCCTTTCGGACAATATTTCTGAAAGATTTCTGGTTCCCAAGACATTTCTTAATGTTGTTTGAGCCAGAAGTCTGGTGGAGTGATGTGCATTTTCAACGTTGGCCACACTGACGGTTGCATTGCTGACTCTGTAGTAAACCACAGCGTCCACAGACACAGTCACGCTGTCTTTCGTTAAAACCTTGGGATTTAATTTTTGAAATTATTTTATTTTTAACCAAATGAATAAACTTTGTAGAGGAAAAATAATTTTACCAAGGCAAATTCATTGAATACATAAGACTGTTTTTGGGAGCAATGAGTTCGTTTTAATTAAAATTTTATAAAATATTTGGTAAATTATATATATTTCAGGTTCTAAAATTGGTTAAATTTATTTTCAAACTTATGAATATCCTGTATTTGCGTCCCAATATAATCTTTAATAAATTAAAAAATGGAAACGATGCGTCAAAATTTATTTGCTTAAAAGTTGATTTGATTGAATACATTGTACAAAATACAACAGAGCATAACGGAATGAAATGTTGACCGATTTGAACAAGCTGGAAGGTACCTCTTGCGGAGGAACGTCGAACGAGACTGTCCTCAGATCGACCTTCGTGTAGCTCTCTATGCATGGAAGCACGAAGAAAATGCCTGGTTAAATTACGAGAGTTCAATACACATTTTATTTTAATTTAATGACCGATTAAATGATACAAATATTTCAATGCACAAAGTTTTAGTCAAAATTTAAAAAAAGGAACAATCGAACAAAAAAATTATTTACCGGGACCTTTGGCTCCACCGGAAAACAGTCTGCCTAACCGGAATATAACTGCACGTTCGTATTCTTGGACTACCTGATTGTTTTACAGTGATGTTGTTATTCAAATTGCTCGGTTTGTTAGATAATGGCTGCTTGATCGATATGCGTATGAGTACAAATAAACACGTTCATTTGTCTTTGTCAAGTGCTTATTTGCGCGTGTGTGTGGGGTGGGGGCACTAATATAATTTAAAACTTTTTTGGAGTTTTTAAACTAAAATTAATTAAATTTTACGTAGAAAATGGGTTATTATCCATGAATTAATGCAACCACATCTTGCAACGGCACACGTCGTTTTGCTACAAAAGAAAATTCCTCAATAAAAGCAGCACGACGATAATTACACAAGTAGGCAAGCAAATAACCTGGCCATAAATATTTTCAGGAATGTTTGCATTGACGAGAGATTTAGCAGAGTTGTGTGCTCTACGCGAGTCGTTGCGTTCTGCAAGTCGACTCTGAGAGTAACATGTTCATGGTGACTCCCCACGTTAAGACGGTCAATGAGGAATGTTGTTTCCCGGTTCGAATAGGAACTCAGATACGCCAGTAGATAGATCACTTGATCCGTGATTACTGCAACGGTATTTACATATCTATTACGGAGTCTCTAATATATTGACGTGCAGTTTGCAGTCAATGCAAAATCGTGCGTTGAGTTCAAGTTCCATCCTGTCAGTTATGCCCTATTTACATTCACTGGCTGCCAGTAATTCAAAAAATGTATTTAATGTATTGCCACTATGGTTTGTGTATTTGTATTTAATTTTGTATTGTATTTAACAAAATGTATGTAATGTATTGCCACTATGGTTTTCAACTGCTTAATTAATTTTAGCTTAAGGTGTCTCTCTGCAAAGTTTAATATGAAACTAGTTGGTAGTAGAGCAAGTTACAATAATCAATCCTAGATAAAACTCAAAAAGTAACAAGGAGAAAAGTAGGATTGTCACAAATAGGCAAAAGTTTTTTTATTCTTCTTAGATGGGCCAAGCAACACTATTAACCTGAGAAGAAAGAGACATGCTAGAATCAAAGATAAAGCCTAGACTACGAAACTTATTAGAAACATCAAGAGTTTTAGAATCAGGTAAGATGGTAGAAGGAATAGTAATAAAGTGTTTAGATTTATTAAAAACAAATTAAATCAAGCTTAGAAGCATTATGTTTAAGATATATAGTCAAACCAAGTGATACTAGAAAGAGGCATCAAGATAGATTTAACAATCTATAGGAAACTAAAATTTAATCTTTCTTTTTGAAATAACCCACTTTATTTGAGCAGTGCTTTTGATGTGAGTTGTATGGCAGAGCGCTGTATAAACTTTATTGAAAATAAATATAATAATTATTATTGTTATTATATAAATAATAATATTATATAGTAATATACGACAAATGAAAATATGGAAATTAGTAGTTGCCTTATATCGGCACCCATGAAGCGTAAAAATATAAATACTCTCCGATTATTTATTTCATCCATCCACATTTCAATGCCTATTTATTTCCATGACAATGGCTCAATTACGATCTAACGATTGCACATTCATACAACATAAAACTACAAATATTAATATTTCCGTCTGCCAGCCTCGTATCAAGCGAAAAGAACGTATCAAAGTTATGTGCGTGTGCGTGGTTGTGCGTGTGTGCGTGTGTGTGTGTGCGTGCATATGCTTGAAGGAGCGTGTGCTTGTTTGTTTGTCTGGTTTTCGGCGTATATAATTCTTTTATTGCTAATCTTACAACAGTTATGATGCTATTGTAGATTGAAAAACTCAATATATTCATTTTTGAATCATAAATTGGATTTCACATTTTGTCAGCCAGTGATTTGAAATGCTTCAGTTGCATTAGAGTTAGTTCAATAGCAACATTTTTATATTGTTTCAATGAAATTTGAAAAAACAATGTAATCACAGTTTCTTCTTTAAATTGGTTTAGAAGAACGTTGTAAACTATGCCTATATTTTATTTTGAATGTTCACAACTAATTTGTGCAACACCTCATACATTCTAATGATACATTTCACATTTTTGTTATTGCTACTCAAATCAGTTTATTCTTAGAACATAATTTTATCAGGCAAGGACAGACAAGTAAGGAACCGATTACGAAAAAGCTACGATTACAAAGGCCTTCCGCGAGAATATTTTTTGTGATAATTTTTGTATAAATTTTGTTTCTCGTTATTTCAAGCAACCATTAAAATGAAATGTTAAAAAAGTTACTTGTGTAACATTAGTTTACCGATGAATATTTGGCAAAAATCATTCCAGTTGACTCCTCTACAACCACTTTACGATTAACATCATTTTTTTAATAAACTTGAAAAATACAAAAAAATAGTTTA